GGCCATTATTTTTGAAAACTCATGGTGATCAGGGGAGGTACCAGATGATTGTAAAAAGGCTAATGTAGTGCCCATCTTTAAAAAAGGGAAGGAGGATGATCTGGGGAACTACAGGCCAGTCAGCCTCACCTCAGTCCCTGGAAAAATCATGGAGCAGGTCCTCAAGGAATCAATTCTGAAGCACTTAGAGGAGAGGAAAGTGATCAGGAACAGTCGGCATGGATTCACCAAGGGCAAGTCATGCCTAATTGCCTTCTATGAGGAGATAACTGGCTCTGTGGAAGAGGGGAAAGGAGTGGACGTGTTATTCCTTAACTTTAGCAAAGCTTTTGATATGGTCTCCCATAGTATTCTTGCCGGCAAGTTAAAGAAGAATGGGCTGGATGAATGGACTATAAGGTGAATAGAAAGCTGGCTAGATAGTCAGGCTCAATGGGTAGTGATCAATGGCTCCATATCTAGTTGGCAGCCAGTATCAAGCGGAGTGCCCCAAGGGTCGGTCCTGGGGCCAGTTTTGTTCAATGTCTTCTTTAATGATCTGGAGGATGGCGTGGACTGCACCCTCAGCAGTTCTGTAGATGACACTAAACTGGGAGGAGTGGTAGAGACGCTGGAGGGTAGGGATAGGATACAGAGGGACCTAGACAAAGTAGAGGATTGGGCCAAAAAAAATCTGAGGTTCAACAAGGACAAGTGTAGAGTCCTGCACTTAGGACGGAAGAATCCCATGCACTGCTACAGACTAGGGACCAAGTGGCTAGGCAGCAGTTCTGCAGAGAAGGACCTAGGGGTTACAGTGGACAAGAAGCTGGATATGAGTCGACAGTGTGCCCTTGTTGCCAAGAAGGCTAACGGCATGTTGGGCTGTATAAGAAGGGGTATTGCCAGCAGATCGAGGGACATGATCACTCCCCTCTATTTGACGTTGGTGAGGCCTCATCTGGAGTACTGTGTCCAGTTTTGGGCCCCACACTACAAGGAGGATGTGGAAAAATTGGAAAGGGTTCAGTAGAGGGCAACAAAAATAATGAGGGGGCTGGAGCACATGACTTATGAGGAAAGGCTGAGGGAACTGGGATTGTTTAGTCTGCAGAAGAGAAGAATGAGGGGGGATTTGATAGCTGCTTTCAACTACCTGAAAGGGAGTTCCAAAGAGGATGGATCTAGACTGTTCTCAGTGGTAGCAGATGACAGAACAAGGAGAAATGGTCTCAAGTTGCAGTGGGGGAGGTTTAGGTTGGATATTAGGAAAAACTTTTTCACTAGGAGGGTGGTGAAGCACTGGAATAAGTTACCTAGGGAAGTGCTGGAATCTCCTTCCTTAGAGGTTTTTAAGGTCAGGCTTGACAAAGCCCTGGCTGGGATGTTTTAGTTGGGGGTTTGGACTAGATGAGCTCCTGAGGTCCCTTCCAACCCTGATATTCTATGGCACACCCACCATATATGATCTTTAAGAATAAGGATACTCTAAGGCCGCACCAAAGTTTCTCTCTAAAATCTCTTCATTATACATTAATCAACCCATTCATCTTCCCATCTCCTTTCCTAAACCTCACAAGAACAAACAAGAGGTGGCATTCCACACCCTGGATGTCAGAAGGTCACTAGCCTTTTATCGAGGACGGACCAAAGTGTTCAGAAAGACTCCTAAATTGTTTCTCTCCATGACGGAACGGTCCAAAGGCAAGCCCGTATCTAAGCAGAGACTTTCCAAATGGATTTCTGGCTGCATCCAGCTTTGCTACATCCAACATGAACTGCAACCTCCATCATGGATCAGAACACATTCCACAAGATCCATAGCCACATCGGTAGCCTTTTTGAACGACATGCATTTTATGAAGGACGTGCTTATCACCGACATAGGTAAAGCAGCCACTTGGATAGCCTCTCACACGTTCATACAACACTACGGCATTGACCAGGACTCCGCCTCTGACACTCGGCTGGGACACAGTCTTATTGTCCATTCAGACCTAATTCCGAAGCCCCTCCTTTCCCTTGAGTGGCACTGCTCTACGTCACCTAAAGTGGAGCACCCACAGGGACTCCAGTCGAAGAGAGGGTTACTCACCTCGTGCAGTTACAGATTGTTTGAGATGTGAGTCCCTGTGGGTGCTCCCCTACCCACCCTCTTCCCCTCTACTTCAGAGTTCTAATTTAGTCCTCTGCAGTAGAGAAGGGGCAGGTGAGGGTGGCTGCACAGTGCTAGTTAATCGCCAATGCAGGCGCGAGACGGGTTGTGCACATGTGTGGCCCAGCCAGGTACTGCTGTCGAAATTCTCCACTTGGGTGCCCCTGCGCCTCTAATCACCTAAAGTGGAGCACCAGCAGAGACTCACATCTCGAAGAACCTCTGTTACTGTACAAGGTGAGTAACCCTCTCCATGACCGTGCTCTCTTCCCCTGAAGTTTGGGGGGTTGTTAGAAATTGTGTCGTGCTTGGTGTACATTTATTAATATTAGTCTCTTAATGAACCTGTGAATTATGCAGTGCTTGCTGTAGGTTTATAGTTGTTTAATTGTACCTATGAATTCTATGATCCTGTTCTGTTACAAGTAATGTGCACTTTAAGTAGCGCTAGGCATTCTATGTGAAGTAAAAAAAAAAAATGAATTTATTTCCGAAATATAAACTTATTGCATACCAAAAACAGTGCAAAACATTAGTGGGCAATTATAAACCAATACAGTGTAAACTAATAAAGTAAACTAACAGAACAGAAATTTAAAATTGAAATGAGGGGGTAAGAGAGCTGCTGAAATTGAGTTCTTCGTTGACTGCAAAGGGAGGGAGGGGAGTCTGTGACTGGACCTGTAGGCCAACAAGAATCTGCATCAGTTGTATTTGCTGTCTGAGAAGCCCCATTATGTTCTGATGCAGCTCCCTCTTGTCTTCCTGCTGGGACTCCTGGGCCTTTCTTCTGTCTGCTCTTTTCTTCTCTGGGCTCTGTGGTATGTTCACAGTCTGTTGCAGCACTGGCTTGTAGTATCTCGCTGAACATGTCATCTCAGCAGGGCTTTGGAGCTGTGCTCCAGCTCCAGGCAAAAACCTGCAGCTCCACTGCTCCGGAGCTGCTCTGCGCTGCAGCTCCGGGCTCTGCTCCAAAGCCCTGCATCTCAGTCTGCATCTTTCTCCTCCTGCTGCTCGTGTTGTGTGTGCGTGGAGGGGGGTCTCGCGCACTCCAGGCCTCAACAGCAGCTACAGATAAAACAGGCAGATGTATCGCATTTACAGCCACAATGGAAAGCTGACGATAAGTTTCAGAATTCCCTTCCCTTATTCTGTTTTAAATAAGACATGCTTATTCATCTTTTGTGCCCCACTGCACTGCTCTCCAGCTGCAGCCATTATGAGTATGGCCTGTCAGGGGGAAGAGTGTGTGGGCGGGAGGGAAATGAGGGAATTGTTCAGTTGCAAACAAAATTTTGGCCCCTATTCCAATGGCATTGAGTACTGGTGCTATTTTCTGCAGGCAGTGGTGTTTTTTTAGATGATATTTCATTCCTGAGGGTAACAGGCACAGAGAACAGACCTGCAACTGGTGTCCTCATGCTGCTTGTGCCTCTTTGCTGCTAGTGTGTTTATTGCAATGGTGCATGCTGAAGTCATCGTAGAGTAGACTCTTAACAGTCCACTTCGAAAATTATGGAATGGCTACGGTTATTATAGGTCTGTTTGCTAACCTTACTCATTTTTATACTAAGTGCTACCTGGAACGGTGCTTAGAACTTTACATAAAATATCTGAATCTCACTACTTTTACTGGCACTTACGTTAAGGTTGGGAAAGTGGTGTTGAGAAAATGGGCAGAGGGATGTCTGGTTTATATAAAAGTGGTATCTTTGTAGAATGAACCTAGTTTGACATTTGGAAGAGATATAGCTTTTTCTTTCAAAGGTATTCAGCAATGTATCATTTTCTTTATATTACAATAAAAAAGACCCCTTTTTTTAAGAGCCAAATTACTTATGAATAGTCTAGAGCAGTTGTTCCCAAACTTTTTGACATCATGCCCCCTTTTTACTTTGAGAGACCCTCACGCGCCCCCCCCCCCCCTTTTCCCCCTTCCCCTCCCCCCCCCCCCCCCCCCCCCCCCGATCCTTGTCCCCTGACCGCCCCCTCCCAGGACCCCACCCCCTATCCAATCCCCCCGTCTCCTGACTGCCCCGACCCCTATCCACACCTATCCAACCCCCCCACTCCCTGTCTCCTGACCGCCCGCGCTCCCACCCCCCACCCCCCGAACCTCCACCCCATCCAACCACTCCATCCCCTGACTGCCCCCCGGGACCTCGTGCCCCTTATCCAACTTCCCTTCCCCCCGCTCCCCGCCCTCTTACTAGGCTGCTCAGAGCAGCAGGACTGGCTTATTGGAAAGCCTGGGAGGTGGGCAGGTGCAAGCCGCGCTGCCGGCATGGCTTTGGGGGCAGAGGGACAGGAGGGGAGGGGCCGGGGGCTAGCCTCTTCGGCCGGGAGCTCAAGGGCCGGACAGCCTTGCACCCCCCCCTTGGAATTTCTTTGCGCCCCCCAGTTTGGGAACCAGTGGTCTAGAGTAATAAAAGATGTTGGTCCTAATTAACTGCACAGTTTTCCTTGAAAATTTACTGAGTATTTAAAGAGGATGTTATCAGAATAAAAATGTTTTCCTTTCATTTTTAAATAAATGGCTGTACATATGCAGTAAATAGTTCACATTATAATAATCAGAATTTATTTTATTCTACAGCTGTTTATTATTTGCATTTCTTCTATCTGAATAAACAAGAGCAGACTAATCAGTTTCCCTTGTTTGTAGACAGTTTCTAGTCATTTTCACCATGGAACTAAAATTTATTGAAATATCTCTATTGATGACACACTTAATAAAATTTTTTTTTTAATTTTTGTTTAACTTTGACCTAATAGTCTTTCTAAATATAATGACCACACTGTATTGGGGAAACATTTGCAGCAGTTTATTGTAACACCGGTCTTATTTTTATTTCTGTTGGTGAAGCTGGTATTTAAAGATGCTGCAGTGCTGCAAATGTAACCAGTGGTTTCATGAGGCTTGCGTGCAGTGTCTCCAAAAGCCAATGCTTTTCGGTGACAGGTAAGAAGCTTGAACTAAACTTTGATTTATGGTTGTTTTTATTTAAAATGTGGATTGTTTTAATCCTCTATTTGTATTTAAACATAAATTACTACTAAAATAGTCATAACTCTGAAAGCATTTTAGAATGCAGTTTGTAAAGAAGACAACAAAATAAGTTTATATTTAATTCTCTGGCTATTTAACTGACAGCATCTAAAGTGTGTTTTGTTTTTTTTATAAAGACAAACCTGAGAGAATGGCTTTTAATATCTTAATTTTATTTTTTGTTTTAGGTTTTATACATTCATTTGCTCAGTTTGCAGTTCTGGACCAGAGTACCTCAAACGTTTACCCTTGAGATGGTAAGTACAACTTAAAAAAGAAATACGTAACCCTCTACCCACTTTTCTCCTGGACATCTCATGTCTCTTTGTAAACCTGAGGATCATCCACTTTATATTTTGACCTTTATGAGTGATACCCACTGCTTCTATAAAAAAAAGGACAGGTCTCCTTCAAAGCTAGTTATTGTGTGTCCTTAGTCATGTTGTTAATGCATGATATCTAGGGTCCTCTTCCTTGGACAATTCAGTATTACAAACCACTGCTGGCTTGGGTATGAGAAACTTAAGTCTAAACAGGATCTGTTACCCAAGTATAGAGTACTGCCACTGGGCAAGCCAAATACAGTGTGCACATTAACAAGCATTATGACATACTTTGCAATAGAATTTCCTAGTTGAGAATTAGAAGTGAGTTGTAGTTTGAACCTTGTGAACTTTAGCTCTTCTATACAAATACCAAATAATTTGAATAAGTTGCAACATGAATAAATATTTTATGGAAACTCATTTGATGTTAATTTGCCAATGTTAAATTCTTGTATTTATCTTGCCTCAATTAAACATTCTAAGATCTAAACAAAATTTGGAGCTAAAAGGGCATCATGGCAGTGGGGTGAGGCTTAGGGAGAAAACAGAACATAAGTCAGAAAAGGGGGATATAAATGCAGATTTTATAAGAATATTGTTTTGGAAATTTGAGACTGTTTCTAATCAGGCTTTGTACTCTTTTAGCCATATTGTGCTAATATTTTTGTGCAAAGCTATTTCAAGGACTAATGGTTTGTAAAAAATTAAAGAAATAAAAACTTAATGTTTTTGATTAAATATTTCTGAATTCTAGGGTAGATATAGCACATCTATGCCTTTACAACCTAAGTGTTATTCATAAGAAGAAATACTTTGATTCAGAGCTTGAACTTATGACATACATTAATGAAAACTGGGATAGATTGCACCCTGGTGAGGTAGGTAGTTGAAATATTCTTTTCTTGTTTTTGTTTCTCTTAGCAGTCAATACATTCACAAAACTACTGGGTGAGTGTGGCCTGCAGGAGGTCAGACTAAATTATTATAATGGTCCCTTTTGGGCTTAATCTGTGAAACCAAAATAATGACACATGGTTTTAATAGACTCCTAGAACTATTCAGCATAACTTTTAAGTGTCAGACTTTTTTGAGCTATAAAATTTAGTGTGATCCAGATAACTATTGCATAGTTTGTTGTTCAGATGACCACTTTCATTGTTTATACCCAAACACTGAACTTTGTTTGTTTTTTGTATCTTCCATTTAGAAATATAACTGTAAGGCATTTTCCTGCCCACTGACCAGGCAAATTAAGTACCCAAGAGGTTAAATAGATTAGTAAACTGTTAAAAGTAGCTGTCAAAGTAACACTGTGTGTGAAACCCTGAACACAAGCTTATTAGCAGCTTTGTGACAACTAAAGTAGAAAATATCTGTGACTTGATTTTAAAATAGTCCTTAATAGGAAAAGGTTAGGGGAAAATGAAGAGAAACTGAAGTCTGCAAACATTTTCCATATATGCAGGGCCGGCTCCAGGCACCAGCTGAGCAAGCTGGTGCTTGGGGCGGCAGATGGTTGGAGGCAGCATTCTGCCCAATCCTAGGGCGGCACGGCTTTTTTTTTGGTTCTTGTTCTGCTCTGGCCGCCCTGTAGGGGGCGGCGGCGCGGAGAACCAGAGCGCCCTGCAGGGCAGTCCTCTTCCTTCCCTCCCCGCTGACCGGAGTGGAACCCTCGCGGCAGGCAGCAGGAGGCGGCGCAGCGGGAGGGGCCGCGTGGCAGCGCCCCTGCTGTAGCTCTGGCCGCCCCCTTCTCTCTCTGTCTCCCGCCCGCTCCCTCCCCTCCTCCCCCCCCCCCCCCGCCCGTCCCCCCTCCCCCTCCGCTCCGGCCCCCCTGCAGGTTTTTGTTTTTTTTTTGGCGCTTGGGGTGGCCAAAAAGCCAGAGCCGGCCCTGCGTATATGACAGAAGCTTTTAATTAAAAACCACCTAAACAAATGCTGTTCTTGTAAGTGTATATACTTAGTGCTTCAGAATAAAAGTGAATCGTAATATTTTCCTTCTGTATCTCAATAATTAAAAGAAATTTTAGTGTTCTAAAAAAACATTAAGCACTACATTACTGCAGATGCATCTAAACATAACCTACATAGGATCTGTCAATTAGTATTTTGAATCATTGAGGTGCTGAAATAGAATGCTTTTTGCTTTCTAAGCACCTCAAAAAAAATTGATGTTACTATTAATACTTTTGCCATATTTGGTGCTTTGAAAAATGTTGGCTGACATCTATAAGTTATGGGATAGTTCAAGATTTCTATTTTTTTTAATTAGAAGCATCTTTCTTTAAATTGCAAGCTTTTTTTGTAAAATTTAGCAAACAGATTTTTCACAGAAGGTCAGTATGTCAGTGCCACCTACTATTATCATTAGACTGTTTTGACTCTTTTTCCAGTGACATGACAAGACAACCTGTTGCTGTACCACTGTGCTGCTTATTTTCAAGCTAGTTCGTTTGCTGGATAATTGCCTGGGTATTAAAGAAATTCAGTTCCCTAAACAAACCTACTCCCCAATAAGTCTGATTAGGAAGAACAAGTGTTAACACATGGGGTTGTAGTTCTGCATGTAATGACAGACATAATAATAGCTAAACTAGAGTTGACAAAACGCATGCGAAGTAATTTTTTTTTCTTACAAGAGAATCATTTCAGAAGGTTTTGAATTCTTTAAATACAGACAGGGCTGTTCCTAGAGGGGCATGGGGCCCGGGACAACCTCCCCTCCCCCACTCAGCCCCAGACCCCACCCTCACTCCACCCCTTCCCCCAAGCCTCTCCCCCCCACCCCTTTCTGGCTTCTGCCCCCTCCCCGAGCAATGCGGGGCGGGTCGCTCGCTACTGCCAGCGCCAGGCCCCCCGCTAACCTCCCAGGCTGCCCTGGACCCCATTTCCCCCTGAAGCGTGGCGACCCTCAAAGCATGGGGTTGCCCCAGTCCATCCTATGGACGGGACGGCTCTGAATACAGATACTGTATTTAATTGACTTTAACACTTTTTATCCTGATTATGCCCTAATTTGATGTACTTTTGTTTAATAAGTTAATATCTGTGTAGTCCTTTTTGCCTAAGCCAAAGTAAACATGAGACACACAATTCAGGTTTTTTAGATCTCAAACACCTGTTATTTGACACTATTCCTGAATTCTGGAAAAACACTCAACTATGTTCAAAAACTTTTGGGTGTGGATACTTTTATTTGAGTCTAATTATGACCCATCTTAAATAGCAGTAATTAAACAGAATTATTGTGATAGAGGTATCTGGATTAATTAGAATCTGATGTATAGCATGTTTGCTAATTCTGAAGTTGATTAATCATTTGTAGGAATTCGCATGTTGAAGAGCCTTTTCTATAAATAATAAAGAACAGGTCAATGTGTTCTATGCTTTGCTTTTCTTTTTTCTGAGTCTATTCACAAATATAACTTATTTTAGCAAAAGTAAAAATGTGTTAATCTAAAATGAAATACAGTAGCAGAATAGTAGAGAATGTGGCGAGTCCTCACTTTTCATGGCATTTCAATCAGGGCCGGCTCTAGGCACCAGCAAAAGAAGCTGGCCGGCGCCGGAATGCCGCCCCTAAAAATGTGCCCTGGCCTTCCTAGCTCACCTCCGCTGCGCTGCGGCCGCTCGGGGTCTCCCCCTCCCTCCCAGGCTCTCAAACCTGGGAGGGAGGGGGAGACTCCGAGTGGCCGCGGCGCGGGCGCCGCTTCTCCCCCTCCCTCCCTCCTAGGCTTGAGAGCCTGGGGGGAGGAGGCAGGGCTGGGGATTTGGGGAAGCGGCGGAGTTGACGTGGGGCCGGGGGTGGGGTAATTAAAAAATGGGGAGGGGGGGGGCGGCCAAAATTGTTTTTGCTTTGGGCGGCAAAAATCCTAGAGCCGGCCCTGATTTCAATAAGTTTAAAAAACTGAATATTCCAGGAAGTGCCATGACCTTTTAATACATTGCATGACAAGTGGACTTGATATCTGGTTTTAATTTCTGGTTTCTTACTATTAGGCCAGAAATGCTGCAGAAGTAAACCTTCTTTTATTTATAACTATCCTCAGATATAAACAAAACTTGTTGCTAAAACCATTATGGCATAGAGAGAATGAAAACAGGATATAAAGCAGGAAAAATCACTCATATCTGTTAAGTGGCGCTTCCAGCTGGTTAAGCAGCAGCATTTGTAAACTTCCAGAGGAAGCTGTTTCCTTTTCAACCAGAAGGCCAAATTCTGTAATGAACTAGGAGAGTATAGATAGTGTTGTACAGTAGAGGAAAAGTGGAGCGGGGAGGATCTTAAAGATTTGGGCATAAATATGGTAACCTCCATCCTCTCTTCCACTAAGGGAGAAAGGAAAAAATAGTGAAAAAATTGTATGCTAGTCAACTCTGTATTTTGATATTGCTGGTAAATCTTGGGTTTTTGCAAAGCAGTGATTTATCAGGAATTTATAGAGTATAAATGTTTCCTAGATCTCTCCTTGCATTGCTGAGGAATCCATGGTGTTTAGAAATAACTTTTTGATTTTCCTTCAGACCAGTGCATTTTTAAATTAATAAGAGGCTAAGTTTCTTGACATTTTATGTAAAATAGGAGGAAGGTGGTGGACTGGAACTAGGGCTCCTAAAACTAACGTTTCAGTGTCATTGTTTTTAGAGTGAAAGAATTGTTATAGAAGTTCTGTATTGATTCTGTAGCTCAGGTCTTGCACAGTTGCAAAATCTGCTGTTGGGTCCAGAATTCCACAGACTCTAAATACATGGGGTGTATATTGTGTGTACATGTACCCAAAAGCTAGCTTGTGTAAAGTCAATTTTTCCACTAACATCCTTTGGCTAAATTAGTTTGAATGCTTTCCCTACCCCTGTTTTTAGTAATTTATCCCGGATATGGGTTCCGGTAGCACTTTTATCTTACACAGTGGTGGGTCACTTTTGTGGGCTTTTTTAATACTAATAAAAATTAAGTGTTAAATGTGGTACCTTGCCCCTCTGCCACAAGTTTTACAGATGTGGGGAAATGGTAAGGATTTAAAAAATTACCTTTTGCTTTTCTCCTTGATTTCTTTTCCTATTCCCTTTTTTTTATTCATTCCTCACTTTTTTTGTATTCTTTAGCGGTATGAGTTTGTAATTTGTTGCAAGTTGTAAATAATCAGTCAGCCTTCAATTACATGATATTTGTCCTGATCATAAATTGTGGTAAATTATGGGCCCTGACTATATAGTCAAAGGTCCACATACTCCACAGCAAGCTGGATGTAACTTCTGGGGAACCAGAATAGAACGTGTGTGTAAGTTCTTTGATAGCTTCCTTGAAATTTAAAAAAAGTTTATATTATGTTAAATATGAAAATGAGCAGTAGTAGTCAATACTATAGAGCCTGTTCCTTATTTAAATAGTGAGTTAAATTTATTTTATGTTGTCCCCATATCTTCAGTTCTTAGGGTTAAGTAGGTTTTTGTATTGGCCACTCATGAAAGCATTCTATAAGCTTTAAGGGGGAAAGAAGCAGATTTCAGTAGCTGGGAAGAAACCATTTGGGACTTGTGGCATCATAAGAGGACATTTAGGATTGTGGGGTAAACACTTTGAGCCTAATTCTGATTTACACTAAACCCTATTTACACATTTCTGATCATGAAAGGAAGTTTTAAAGTGTGTGTGTGGGTAAATATTTTACCACCACTTTACCTCTGTTACACTTCCTGAGTGGTGTTGAGCAACCTTAGATTAAATAATAATTAGGCCCCTCAGCAGGATATGTCTGCTAAAATGATGAGCAATTAAATAGTTAACAATATTGATATATAAACTGTCTTGTACTTTCAGGGTTAACCCATTCATCTCAGTGGAATATTTAACACCACAGAGTTCTTGTTCCAAGATATCTGCAGGCTCATGAAGACAACACTGCATCAATTTATAGTCTATATTTATATTGTATTTATAAGTTTTGGTTGAGGTTTTCTAAAAAATTGTAAGAGCTACAAGAAACAATTTTCTTTTAAAATGAAAGCTTAGATTCTCTGGCAAGGATGGATTCTGCAGAAAATCGCACAACCTAGACTCATGGAATACATTGGGTACTAAATGTAATAGCCCATGCTTGGGGTAAGGCAACTTTCACCATAAATTATACCTTCAAGACATACTATGATCCCAAACCAGTAGTCTTTAAACAAGCAGAGCTCTGATCTAGGTCATTGGACCTTTATTACTGAAAATTCCAGTAAGTTAAATCACTTCTTAATACTTTACAGCTGGCAGACACACCAAAATCTGAAAGATATGAGCATGTACTGGAAGCATTAAATGATTACAAGACCATGTAAGTTGATGAAGGTTTTATTATACATTTCAAATGCTCTTTTCACATCTTACTTTAATGTAGATTCCCCCACCCCCAACCCCAGTCATCTTAGAAACTTTACCCAGAATAACTATTGGTGGCTGAAGGTGGCATTTTTACTGAACTCTTTCTATGTTGAATATTTTGTGGTGATTGAGATAGCTTTGGAAGTCAGATCACCAGCAAAACTTGATTTAACTTCCATCTTTTCCCCAGTCTTGGCATTACATATTGGGGTGGAGTGGGGAGAACAAAATAGGATACACACAAATAGCATTAGAAAGAGGATTCTAGTTTGCTAACTTTTCAGTTTGTGTACTTTTAAGATACTCTCTGCTTTCTCCAGTGTTTGAATTTTAATTCTTAATCACTTAGGTTTATGTCTGGAAAAGAGATAAAGAAAAAGAAGCATTTGTTTGGCTTGAGAATTCGTGTTCCTCCTATGCCACCAAATGCTGCTTTAAAGGCGGAGAAAGAACCAGAGGGAACATCTCATGAATTCAAAATTAAAGGCAGAAAATCATCCAAACCCATACCTGATGCAAGGTAAAATAAATCAACAGCATAGTGACTTCAGGACTTTGTAATGGAACTGAAATCATGCAAAAATAGCTGTCAAAAGTACCAATATTGCCTTAATGTTGTATCATGCTAAAAGTTTATTCACCCATTTTAGTACAACCCTAGGATTAATGTGTAACTAATTAGTGAGGCAGAGGTAGCACATACCTATTATGTAGATCCCAGCTACTTTATTCTTAACTTCTTAATGACAGTAGATTTTTTTTTCCTCCAGCAGACTAACTTTGCATTAGATTGAAATCAATACAAAATTCAAACTTCCATAAATATTTTAAATGGTCTGTTATCAGAGAGGGTCTCTCCCCAAAGGTTTTAAGTACATATTATGCATTATTAAACATGTATGTAGGTGAATAACTTATTTATGCACTTTGAGTGCAATTGCTTTAAGAATATAGAATGATCTGTACATTATGCACTGATCTTTTGAGATTGTTATGAAATCAGGATGTTGAGTTTAATCTACTTAACCTTTAGAAAGACCTCTTTGAAAACAGTTTAATTTAGCAGCACCGAGAATAGAAAATAGATACTAGCTAACCAGACCTTGCTGCTCTTTAGTAAACAAAAAACATTGCTTTTCCTGTTAGGCAACTGTCTGAACTAAGATTTTAAACAGGAGATGGGATTTCAAGTTGTAAATCAAATTCCTAGATTATCTACCTTTTAAACACAATTGATTTTAACACTATCCAAATTCTACATAAATTGAACATTCTGTATTGTGGTGAAGTATCGACTCACTGGCGCGGCGCCTCCTGCTGGACATCCAGGGAATTGGCTCGCCAGCCTCGAGCGCCCTCTGTCGGCTGGTGTCTTGCCTGTCGCTGGCCCCTCATGTCCCTCCTGGACCCCAGTGCCCCTTTCCCTTGGAGGCTGCCCCCTGGTAGTACCCCCACAATCTCTGGGTCTCCCCATCCAGGGGAACCCCCTATCCCCACCTCGCCTCAGTATGTGGGTATTGCCAGTCACCATCTAGCTCCTGCTCACTGGGGTGGACTGCAGTGTACATGCCATTCATCACTGGCAAAGGGGGGGTTTGGACCTGCTGCCTTTGCCTATCCCAGGCTACCCCTCTGTAGCCCCAGTACTTGTTCTGTCCTTTATCAAGGCCTGTAGCCTGGGGGTTCTCCAGGCTGGAGCTCCCCAGCTCCTCTAGCCTTTCCTCAACCCTGCTCCACTCTAGGTACCTTTGTCCACTCCCAGGCAGCCAGGCCTTTCTCCCTCAAGAGCTAGAGGAAGAGTCCTACAGCTTCTGGCTTCCCTGGCTTTATAAGGCCAGCTATGGTCTGATTGGGGTGTGGCCCCAGCTGTGGCTGTTTCCCCAATCAGCCGAGGCTTGCTGCTCGCCCATGTCCCGGTACTCAGAAGCAGCCCTCACGCAGCCTCAGCCCTGTCCCTGGGGCTGACTTCAAGCCCTTCAGGGCCTGAGCGGGTGACCACCCCGCTACAGTATGAATGTTCCAACATTCAAATATGCGCTCTTCCTAAACCATTGAGTTATGGCATATGTCCCTGGAAAGGTTTTAGGTTTTGTCTGTTATCTTTATGTTGCCATATTACACTGCAGGCAAAGATCTGCAACTTCTTATCAATTTGGCAAATTTTAATTTACAAGGATAACCTCATTTAGCATAACTGACCTGAAGTAAATGTCTAAACTTTTATTTATTTTACACTGATTAAATCTTTTCCTTGGACAAGTCACTCCAATATTTTTAAAACAAAATGTCATCTTTCTTCTAGGGAAATAAGTAATGGCATTGAAAAACAGGGGAAGAAAAAATCAGTAGGTCGTCCACCTGGCCCATATACAAGAAAAATGATTCAAAAAATTTCAGAGCCGCCATCTTTGGTATGCGTTCAAATAATTCTCTTTCTATACTTCATAATATCATTTCTTAGGATATGACCATTAAGTTTTAAGTTGTGGTTTTTGAAAAATTGATAGTTTTCAATGGAAACGATCTGAATTTTTTCCCCTACTTCTCAGGATAAGGAACCAGTCCCAGTGCTAGAGAACCCGGCCTTGGATTTACCCTGCTCTGTTGGGTAAATGAAAAAACTAAACCATTCTAATAGCATCTCATTTTTGCTTGTCAAATGTCAGATTAATTGATTAATGTTAGATTACTTTCATTACATGGCAACTGTGTTCTTATGTCTCAGGAGATCTGATGGAACTGCTCATTCATCCAATACCTCAGATGTGGAATCCACAGGTGCTGCCAGTACAAAAGAAACTACCTCATCTAGCATTTCCAGGCATTATAGGTAAATAGTGAATTATCCATTAAAAGGAAACATGCAGAAACCTCTCTTAATCTTTGATTTTTCTCTAGGTTAATTTTCTGAAGGAGGAAAAAGAAAATGGTGCAACAATACTTTATCATTAATTGACAAAGCAGCACTAATGTTGCAGGCATCCTACAGAGCTTGCACTTGCTGAACATTGAATTTTCTCTTTTTAAACAAAAGCTATTTTAAGGAGAAATTAGCCCAATTTCTCTTTGATTACTAGCTACTGTTTAATGTTGAGATACAGTCTGCACTTGAACCGTTTACAACAAAAGGAACAACTGTATGGCCATTTCTTCAAATTAGACTTCTAATAAATGTTAATTGATACAAAACTCAGTTTGGTAGGACTAACTTGCACCCCAAATTCATTTCACTTTAACAGCCTTTGTTTTAATAATTTCTATTAATGTTAAAGAAAATTAAGTACCCAACTTATATAAAATTATCAAGTACAGTGTATTTTCCACTGGGATTGAATCATCTTGACACACAGATTTAATAAGTTAATCAGGTACTTAAGAAAAACGTGGCCTTCTGGATGTTCCACAAATCTGTTGGACAGTTTTCTGCCTCATATTTAATATTCCTAAAGAATCTCTGTCAAATTGAGAAACAGTTTATAAGGGTCTTGATTCATGTCTTGCAAGCTTTGTCCCCATTTTGTAATTTCGAATACATTTGATATGACTTGTCTTTTTTTTCCAGTCTAAAGCTGGCAAGTGTCTTCATCTGTGGAATGACCAGGTTTTTACACTTCTGCAGTTTATTTTTAATGTTCAAAACACACTGAATGAAATGTGTTTTTTGTTTTTTTTTAACAAACAAGTTACTTCATTTAAACAGTGTCTTGTGTGCACCAGTTTAGGGTCATAGCTTTATTATTTTTAACTTACCAAGTCCATATTATGTCTTAGCGCACCAACCATTCCAGTGTGCAAAAATGTAGGTGTAAATATGCCTTTTTCAAAGACTTAAATCTTTCACCCCTATAATATGACACTTAAACAATGCTACATCCTGTTCTTCTTCTCTAGTCATCAGTACATCTAGTCTGTGAATTTTGCGCATAGACCTTTTTTCCCCCCTGTGTGTAAAATGTCCACGAGGAGTCAGAAATTTAACTCTATTGAGATTCTCTACTGATAGAGGAGACCATACAAAGTTTTTGTTTGTTTTTCCTTTTTTGAAAAAAGAACTGAGGTGCACTCGATTTAGAAAATACGACGATATTTTCTGTAACTGAGGGCTTGTCTAAATGAGAGAGTAGCACCTGGTTTAGTTTACGGTGTGAATTTAAACAGATTAAGTGAAACTGGTGCAAATACCTGTGGCACCTTTATCCATTTAAAAGGGCAATTAGGAACAGATTTAAGATAAGTCAAAAGAAAAGTCACTCTTAAATGGGTGACCAGACAGCAAGTGTGAAAAATCAGGACAGGGGGTGGGGGGGTAATAGGAGCCTATATAAGAAAAAGACCCAAAAATCAGGACTGTCCCTATAAAATTGGGACATCTAGTCACCATACCCTTAAACCAAAATAAGGTGCCCATACATGGGCTTTCACCTGTTTAATTGAAGTTAGTTTTTAAACCAATTTAATTAAACTAGTGTAACTTTCTCATATAGACAAGCCCTTACATTGTAAACTCCCTGAAGCAGCCATTTATCTTCCGTATGTAAAGCACCTATCGCTCTAAATTGATATCAACAAATCATAACTAATGAGTTGTACAGATATTACTAAAATAATAAAGCAGAATAAAACTGTACACAGGAGGCAGACTTTTAAAATAAACAGTATTGCTAGGACTTAATGTTGGTGTCTTTTTTTAAGTAGCTTATCAGACTCCAGAAAAAGGACTCGTACAGGAAGAACTTGGCCTGCTGCAATACCACATTTGAGGAGAAGAGGTCGCTTTCCACGAAAAGCACTCCAGCCTCAGAATTCAGAAATTGTAAAAGATGATGACAGCAAAGAAGATTATCAATATGATGAACTCAATACAGAGATTCTTAACAATTTAGCAGATCAGGAATTGCAGCTGAATCATCTAAAGAACTCAATTACTAGTTATTTTGGTGCAGCAGGTAGAATAGCTTGTGGTGAAAAATACCGTGTTTTGGCTCGTCGGGTAACCCTTGATGGAAAGGTGCAGTATCTTGTGGAGTGGGAAGGAGCAACTGCATCCTGACTGTAGGACTGAACATGTTCACTGCACTGTCATCTGTAGGTACAGTTTATAACCCATGGCTCTGAAGGAGACATGTCTTTACTGTGTTTCTAAAAAAGAACCAATTTAGCCTTAACATGTACTTGTTAACATTACAAATATTGTGATAAAGATTTTTCTTAAAATCAGATCTGATACTTAAATTTTTTAATGTGACCATTGTTAGATTGTTTTAGGTTGGGATATTTTGAGTTACAATTGCTTATAATGTGCATGGTGTTTAAAAAAAGACTTTTTTTCTAGATAACATTCCATGGATACAGTTTTTTGTGATTAGGGAAAATACCTAGATAGCACAAATCTTTGGAGAAATCTTCGTCTGTTTTCTTACCCAGATGTTTGCAGAAATGTATTTCTATTTCAGTACACTCTAGATTTCATAAAGTGCAGTGTATATAATGCCTACTGTAAAATATTGAAATTTTCTTTCAAGCAAAGTGTAAAAAAATATATTGAGCCTGTAAATTGCTCTTTGACTAGACTTCATTGTCTTTTTAATATATTCTTTCCGTGTGTGTGTGTATAAATACGCACTATATATATACACGAGTGTGTGTGTATATATGTGTGATTGTGACCTATGCAATACAAATTATGGGATTGGGCAGCTTCTGAGTATATGTCCCATAATTCTTTTATCAGGAATAGTTGCAGTATTTACACAGCAGCATTTCTTCTCAGGCTTTATTGGATGCTGTTGCTTTCTATGTACTAAGGAAAAGTGTCAAATCAGTGCAGTGTCTCCTGGCAATGGGTGCAGTCATTGATGTTCGTATGCTCTTGCTAATACAGTCAATTATTTTCCTTGTAAATCAGCCATTCAAAACATAAAGCAGGATTTGAAAATGTTGAACATGAACTCTATTAGAAGTAACACTTTAAAGTTTTTGTGGCACATTGATTGTAAATTTTGTCTCCCAGTTATAAAAGTAAGTCAACAGGAGCCACACACAAGATTCCTATAATGTCTGTAGTAATTGTTAGTCCATGTTTGATAAATGTAGAATGAACAAAGTATTTTATTGCACAGGGTCAACAAACAGTATGTTGCCATTTGAAGTAACAGTACTGCTTTTATAACAACTTTACCTCTTTTGTTTTTATAAAATGTACCAAGTTTTAAATTGATAACTTTATTTTACTTGTAAAGAGACAGTTTCACCAGTGTTAGATGTATTTTTCTTTGTCTGCTATTTTGAGGGTTTTTAGCCAAAGAGTAAACAGAAGAATATTGTTATTTTGGTGGTTATTCACTTTACTGTCTTTCTTACACACTTGGAGTTTGCCACCAAAATAATGTTATGTAATATTTGTTAATTACATAGTGGTTTAAATGTACTCTCTGGTTTAGTACTTATTTATTCCATTACTTCTTATTTGACTTTTTTTTTAATTTACTGCCTGTCTTGAGCATCTTCAAAAGATGATTTTTCTGTCACCTTATTGCCAAAGGAAGCAGAGAAAACTTTGTTGCCCTGTGCTTGGTTCATTGTTGGCCAGGTAATAAATGAGCTTTACAAAAGTGCTAATTAAGAACTGCCACTTCTGTTTACCTTCACTAAAATGTGGTTTTTCTCTCACACACCCTCAGCTATTAATTTAAAGATGCCTTTCCTGTAGCTGTAATATTTTGATAAAAGCAAGTTTGTTAATTTTTTAATTTTTATATCTTGGGGTAATCCAAAATGTAAAGCCTTTGTAACCTTACTCTCACATCTGTATCTGTCTTATTTCACTTTATCCAAATCTTTTAATTCTAACTGAACACCAACAGTATTCTCAGTAATGCTTCTTTTTGAAGATAAATATTGGAATATACATGGGGGAAGGGAGAGGGAAATAACAATTGTCACACTTACATTGTCCATAGTCTTAACTATTGTGAATGTCTTTGTTTCATTTTATTATGGTGGTTGACACAACTCTGATGTTCAGTTTGTATTTTTGGAGTTGCATTTCTTAGAATTAAAAAAGACCAACATTAAATGTGTGTATTTTTTAATAGAAGTTTTGCTTCTGTATTCACATGAAATACATACTAGTACTTTGAATTTTTTTCCCTATGTCCTCCCTCAAACTATAGCCATCCCTCTAACTTTTTTGAGCTTGTCGCCCTGCACATACACACAGAAGCAATAGATCCCTGAAAGTGTTCCAGTACACACAGGGAATGTTTTGGTCATACGAGTTTGCATGGTGGTACTATTTGCAACCTCCTTATGTGAATACAAATATATTTATGGTCATGGATTGTTAAAAGAAAAAGACAAAGATCACTGTTTAACAACAATTTGTGTATCAATCATTGTTTTGATTTACATGGGTCTAAGCATGAACTTTCATCCCCACTGATTTTGCAGCTCTTTACCCGGGTGTCTGACTAATACTTTGTACTTATTTATTTATTCATATTACTGTAGTGCCCAGCGATCAGAGCTCCATTGTAGTAGGCTCTGTACAAACATAACAGAGGCCCATCTCTGAGATCTTACAATCTAAGTGTAAGGTGGATAAAACAGACCAGGGGAGCACAAGGACCCAGTGGAAGTATGTCGGTCACTGTGAAAAACAATGGTCATAGCAAAACAGCTGCCTAACCATTGTCAAGTTTTATGTAGGCATCTCAACAGAGAGGAGTTTCAAGGAGATCTGAAAGAGTACTTGGGGGTCACTTTGCAGATATTTAGGGGGAGTTCTTCTCATCCATAGTGGTGGTCAAAAGGGGCTTGTTGGTAAATTTTTAAAATGGGCAATCAAGGCTGGTACCATTTGTGGAATGAAGGCAGGGATTGACATCTTGCTGCCACATTAGAAATGATAGGGCAGAAATAAGTCATAAAGAGCCTTGAAAGTGAAGACATGTAGCTTGTATTTGCAGTGAAGGACAAGGAAGTGAAGGAATGCAAAGAGAAAGTTGATGTGGTTGAAGTAATAAGCTAGGAAAGATTTTTGCAGTAGCATTTTGAATGGAGATAAGTGGTGCAAAATGGGATTTGTCAAGGTTGGAAAGGAAGAGGCTGTAGTAGTCGAGGCACAGATGAGGGCTTGGACGAGAACTAGCTGTGTGCCTAGTGAGGAAAGGTTTGATCTTACAGATGTTATGTAGGATGAAGTGTCAGGCTTTAGACACAGACTAGGTATGTGGAGATGGTAGAATTAAGACAACACCCAATGTAGTAATGTAGTTACACTGACTTAAGCCCTGTTGTAGACAGCACTACGTTGACAGAAGGGCTTCTCCCGTCAATATAGCCACTGCCTCTGAGAGGTGGAGTACCTATTCTGACAGGAGAAGCTCTCCCATCAGAGTAGGTAGTGTCTTCGCTAAGCACTACAGTGGTGTAGCTGCGCCGCAAGTGTAGACAAGCCCTAAGGGTTTTGTTTGGACAGAAGGAGACAGGTTGGGAGAAAAGAAGTAGATCTGAGAGTTGTCAGCATAGAGATGATACTTGAACTTGTTCTTTCAAATTAGATCACCCAAAGACTAAGTGTAAAGGAAAAAGGAGAGGGCCAGGGATGGAACTCTTTGGGACCCATTCAGAAAGTTGGAGGTTGAATGAGAAATATCCACCAAACAAAACCCTGAAAGAGCAATTAGAGAGGTAGAAAAAACCAGGAGGGAACAGAATCATGGCAGCAGAGGAAAGACAAGATTTTGAGATGAAGAGAATGGTTGAAAGTATGTGTGACAATTTGGGGAATCTCTGTAGTACAGTTTATTAATTTCGGTTGATATGAAATTGCTGTATAATGGAAGCTCGGGGTCTATGAAGTCAGTCCTGTGCTGTCAGGGCTATTACATATTCCCAATACCAGGGACAGTGGAGAGCCATTTAACCTCAGTGACTGTACTCTGAAGATGGGTATGCTAACAAGAATTGCCTAATGTAGGAAACCAAGGTGACCAAGTTTGTCTGCATGACTGCGGTATGGAGATACCCAAACAGGAGAACAAAAGTCAACTGTTAATGCTGGGTCTTAAAAACCACAGAGCTTCAGGCTGTCTACGTTTAAAATGCTTCGGCAGCATCGCTGCCGCTGTGGAGCTTCAGTGTAGATGCTACGAGGGCTTCTCCTGTCACTGTTAATCCACCTCCCTGAGAGGCAGAAGTGAAGTCATCAGAAGAATTCTTCTGTTGATTTAGCACTGTCTACTCCAGGGATTAGGTTGGTTTAACTACATCCTTTTGGGGGGGGGGGGGGGGGGGGAGGGATTTTTCACACCCCTGAGAGACATGGCTATGCTGATGAAACTTTTCAGTGTAGACCAGTCTTCAGAAGTTATGGGGTAACTCAGAGGGACTCAGACACAGGAACCTTGGACTGGAAAGAGGAAGAGACAGGCATGCTTTTGTAGCAGATGGTCTTGTTTTACTGTTGGACTACCGGAAGAAGAAGGAAACTGGCTGCACAGAAAAGACAACTCCATGGTTTGGAGGAGAAGTCATGAGCTTTATGAGGGGGAATCCTGGATCACTTTTATCTAAGCCCCAGGAGTGCTGAAGAATGGTGAGGAAACTGAGGCAGGGCATTTTTTATTTTTTCTGGATCCATGTCGTGCTCATGCTAAGTAAAGCGTAATTGGGTTTAGAAACCTTTGAAGTAAGTGTGTGTGTGTGTGTGTGTGTGTGTGTGTGTGTGTGTGTGTGTGTTTAATCTATCATGTTCCCACAAGGCAAGCTTAAGAACACCAGGCTCTCTACTGGGTTGGGGACTCCAACACAGCGGCTGGTGAGTATCCAGCAGCTGGAGCTTTACCCAGGCTCCACATGACATTGGAATTTTGAACTTTGGCCAGGAAGAGGTTGTTAGAGTATAAAGAACTGGATCAGTGGAATGGAAGGAGCAGAAGCCACATTGGAGACCACCTATGATGAAATTGGAAGAAAGGAACTCCAGACATCCATTGTAGACAGCAATTGGAGGTGGAAGAAAAAAGATGGGAGTAGTAGTTAGGGCTAAGTGTGGGGAGGAGGGCGTGCACGTTAAGACAAACTTTCTTGTAGTGTGCGGGGAAGTAGTTGAGGAGAGGGAGATGTTGGGGAGGGAAAAGCTGGGGAACACTGAAGCAGATGCAGAGGCTAGAGGAGGAGACTAAATGTGAAACTTCTGCATCAATAATGGAGACAGTTAGATGGGGCTGGGAGAGGGTTGTTTGTTGTTCTGCTTGAAAAAGCAAGATTCTGTGCAGTGGAAAAAAGTGAATGGGTGGGGAGGATTTGAAAAGGGGAGAGTAGAAGATGGCAAATAATCCATTAGGAGTATGGGTGTGGGAGTCAGTCAAGGTGG